AGTTATTGAGAAAATGACCATGCGTTTTCTATTTTGAAATGGATAGTAGTAACAGGAAAATCAAGAGACCCTAATGCACTGAAAATCGATCTAAATATCAGCACGCAGTGTATTGCTGGGCTTGGTGTATTCTCAATGAGAATACACTGCGGACTGATATTCTGACACCCCACAAATTCCAGAATTTAGAGCATAAGATGGAAGAAAATGGAAACAACGCCACATGGAACAAAGCCAATAAGAAAAAATTCTCTCACATTGTGCAGAACACTCAGAAATTGTGTAGAAAAGTGTGCTTCTCCTTTTCGTTCTTACATATGCAAAAGGTTAGCTATCTTTAATGCACTTTCATCAATAATTGTCTTTGCCGATACGGTAAGACTAACTTCATTTTCGTTTTGAGACTTTGATGCATCGAAATTTTTTAATCCTAAAAGATCTCATTGTGCATACCTTTTTCAAAACACTAGTTTATGCTTTTATTCTATAAGACTTGAGCTACAGCTTACCATCAGAACGTGTTTCCAAGGCTTTGTTAGAACACATAAGTTAGCACTAACTTTCTTATATATCGTTTTGAAGTCGTTTCTAATTCTTTCAACAAGAAAGGAGTAGATAGCGTTAATAATACCAATATCTGTAGTAACTTTATCTAGCTACTTGTTGCGAAGTTTATTAAAAAAATGAGCGTCTTTCCAGATAACGAAAAACCAGGTAAACCTGACGCGAGTAAACTAAATGTCGGTGTCTAGAGATTTTGAGAAATTCTGAGTCCAGTGGTTGTTAGTATTTCCTCATTCTGACTGTGTAAAGGGAGCCTAGGAAACTGGTTCTGGACGCTTAGTAATTTCATGGTGACTAGAATTAAACATGTCAGTCATTGTCAGACCGTGTCGTCTGTTTTTATTAGAAGGATTCTAGTATTAAAAAGTATTCTGTTTAATAGAGATATTTATTTACAAAGGATCTGGATAGTTCTTCTATCAAAAATCCAAAGTTTTCAAGGGACTTTCCGCATTTCGCAGATGCTATGAGCTACGAAGTTTTTCTTTTTATCGATCGACAGCCAAAACTATGTAATTTAACTTGTTTTTTTTCTGATAAGAACTGAATATATTCTTTGTCGCTATAATAAATATACTGCAAAACGTCAGATATAAATACTATCACTACCACTTCTACTTCCTCCCATTTTTCCTAGAATTCGTTATGTAGATAAGTGCAAAATAAACGTTCTTTTCATAAAATCAAATCATCGAGTAACTTATTTTTTGAACATAGGTCTTATCTTACTCTCATTTAGACAAAATTTATTATTTTTATTTGTTTAATTATTCTCTCATCCCAGCTAGCCAGAATCAGATGATTCTGAGCTAGGATAACCGCAAAGCTTGTGAGTACTAACTCACACGTTGTCGAACAGTAGGGAGTTTCGATGAGACACAGTGTTCCGTGCGAAAATTTGAACCTAAAATAATTTTTCATTTTCTACAGTAAAGTTGTAAATAAAGCCAAAAATTAAAACCTGCTCGATCTTTGAATTAGCGGCGCCTTACTTATATTAGAGTTACTGCAAAACACGTCGGTGATTGTATTCTCATATAGAAATAGAAAAAAAAATATATCCAGAACGATAAAACAAGAATCCTTCAAAATCTAACCGTAGGTTTTTGTAAGAAATGCATAAGATTTCTATTATAGAAATCATATAGGATTTTTGCTACCGTCCTGTAAGAAGAATCGTACGGAATTTCAGTCATAGGATTTCGCAGGATTTCATAGAGCCCTAGGACAGAAATCGTATTACCAGTAAAATCCTAGTATGATTGCTTGACCTGAGTAATTTTACAAAATAATTCTTATATGAAGTAAAGCGAAAAATTGTTTCTTGCACAAGAAATGGTGAGATTTCGAAACACTAACGTGTTTTTTTTATTTTCTTTAAAACCACAAGGGACACTTTTCTTTCCCGTGAAGAAAAAATACAATCGGTAAAAACGAAAATGTCAGTAGTGCATTCAAATCATGACGCTAACCGATTTTATTTATAGAACGATATACGTAATGTCACAGTCGTAGCGGTAGCCACTGCAATACTATAGCAAATCAAACCATTTTCGGCAGTCATGAAAACTGAGAGATATACGTAACCCGACAAGTTGTCGCACGTTGTTGCTATGGAAAAATGTAGTATTAAATTCACAAACACCGTTGTCAGCCTCCGTTAACTTTCCTATTAACACATGTGGTAGAGCTTTTCACGATGTATCAAATGATGTATTGCACTGGAATAAATATCTATTTTTTTTTTGTATATTTTTGTATTTGTATATTGATGAACATACTTTCAACCGGAAGCGATTAGAATGTCCAAAGTCATGGAATAAAAAGGTTCCAGAAGATTGGAATAAGGACTTAAGAAACTACAATTTTTGTTCCAAAAATTCGGGTACATCCTTAATTTAACAGATATATGTGATAAATTATTTATTCACTCAGATCTATCGGTGTATTATACAGTTAAATACTTATGTTTATAGAGAGCATGTCGGAAGGCTGTTAGTTTAATGAGACTGAAGGGAAAGAATGAAAAAAAAGTTTCTTGTCGGATTATAAGAAACATTCACAGTAGAAGCGTCATCTTGGTAAAGATATATATGCAATATCTGTAAAAATTGTTTAATGAATAGAAATAAAGTCAAATTGAATGAATCTAGTTAATTATGGGTAAATTTCATTTGCAGGTAATAATACAGCAAAGCATCGTTCCGATGCATGTTACAAAGATTTTGTTCTAAGGTTATTTGTCACATTTTTCGTCAATATAGACGATTGCGTTTTATTCACTTAATTAAAAACAAAGTATCCACTTTTTTCTAATCAAGAACGTTCACGATAACTATATACATGTTTTCACTATGCTCGACAGATTGTTTCTTATTCATTTTCGATTTCCCTGATGATAAGGTATAGTTAGTAGAAAACAGAGTCTGGTTTAATTTTATAGAAGAGAAAAAGAAAAGAAATGTTTCGGTTATTTTTCTATGGTATCCGTGAAAATGATACATATATATACGACATATTACACATTCGTGGTTTTGCTGTCGTTACCATGAAAATAGAAAGAGGACTATTGTGGTTTGAGTTTTTCTATATTAATGAATAGATCTTGTATTATAAATGGCAAGTAATAAATATTTCATTACGGCAGATCGTATGAGTCAAGATGATATTAATAAAGATGTCGCATTGTGTTCAATATGTCATCATTTATTATGGAAACCTGTTACATGCAACATATGTAAGAACTCATTTTGTTATCAATGCATTCATCAACGAGTGAATGATGAACAAACCAATAGTTGTCCATTTGGTTGTGAATACGAAGAACAACAATGTTCATCCGTTATACTGGCATCATTATCAAAATTACAAATAGAATGCTCCTACAAATCGTATGGTTGTTCTGCGATTGTTTCGTATGATATACTAGAAGATCATGAACAAAATTGTGATTATCGGCAATATCAAAAACAGCATTATGATGTTCAGCAACACTTGCAGGAATGCGCAGAAATTGTTTTAAAATGCCAAGAATGCTCTACACTTTATCAACGTGAAGATATGAAACAACAACAACATACAAAAATTCAATGTTTGAGACAGCAAATGCTTTCAATGCAGAACATAATGGAACAAACAGCTAAACTACAGCAAGCCACATTCAGTTCAATTCTCCAAAAGCAACAACAACAATTAAATGCAATAGATGAAAACTTAAAAGTGCAACACAACTTATCAGAACAAAAGCTAAATTTTGTTGTTGACAAACAGCAACAATTGCAAACCAGGGGAGACAACACAGATCAGAAAATAGATACGATTATTCTTAAGCAACAACAACAAGTAAAATTATTGTATGATACAATAGAACAAGGACTAAAAACACAACAAGATTCAACTGAACAAAAAATAAGTACTAACAGCGATAAACAACAACAACAACTTCATGCGATAGAATCAAAATTTGATGAAACTATTAGTGGTGGTATACAAAATTTGAAAGAACAAATGAACGGTATGAGAAACTATAGAATTTTGTTTTTATGTCTTGAGAAAAGAATGTAGAGCAAAGAAGATAACTACTGTTGTAAGTACTGTCATTTTTAGAAATGCTTTTCGTTCCATTGTATTGTGACACCCTCGCTATTATTTCTTTGCGAAAGGGTATAGAGTTTCGCATAAAAAAAGTAATCTCTGTTTTCAAGTACAACTTTTTCGCCTCTCCTTCTTGTCTATCGTAACTCATCTCATTTTCCAGTCTTCAAGGTACTGTCCTTTTTCGAAGGTGTTTGATGCCATACAATAGGCACTGTACCGTACCACACAGTCCGTTTCTACTCCTCGGAGTCCTTGAGTTCTGTTATTTACCTATCCTATGTGTTATTTTTTAATTCTTCCCTGCATTATGGTATAGCTAGACATAAGATATTATTTTAAAAGTTTTTTGCACCAACTTGAGATTCAAACCGAATTTTTTTGCTTTTTGACCAATGAGATAATCCTTCTATATTACTTATTACAATAAAATAGCTCTTTAATCCACGTGAGAAAAATTTGAATAAAATGCAGAATTGGTAAACACCGGTCATCTTTTATAATTCTTTCCCCGATACTTTGACCTTTATGGTCATCTTCTGATCAAAGCTTATACAAAAAATATTGGTTAGAAAACATGGAAGCAAGATTGACACAGGCAGAAATAGAAGAAGAAAAATATACATGTTTTTTTTCTGTCTTGTCAGATAATGTAAAAGTGACGTAACAGATATCGAATAGGTTCAGATCGACCTGTATCATTACATACGGAACCAACAGCCCTCCTGGCTAATGATTATTTTAATAAAATTTTATATTTGTGCTTTTTTGATAACTCAGCTAAAAAATTATCGAGTTTAAACTTATGCCCTGTGTCTCTATAATATTTCCTTAATCGGACGTTTATACTGTTCCATTAATCACAGAATTGTTGTTTATTAAAAAGAAAAAGTTTACAACTTTGTTATTAATGGGTGACGCAGAAGGAATAGCGGTCACAGTATTTTTTATTTTTCTCGTGTTTCTTTAAGACCCTAAGATCAGTGTTTCCTGTACAAGATGCGCCGTGAAATACTCTACAAAACTATATCTAAACTTTAATTTCAGAACTTCAATCAAGAGTCCTATGCCAGTTAGTACTGACTCAGCTTTTTGTGCTTATTCCGAATCTGTACTTGGTATTTGGCCAAAACTCTGATTTAGTTCAAAACCGAGGAATACCGTCTACAATGGCTATAGCGCCAGAGAAAATACAATTTCTCAGCAAGAGAACAAAATAAGAAGAAAAGCAGCGCATGCTTTTGTGACTGGTGGTATGATGAATCGAACGAGACAAAATATTTGACGTCAACTTTTGCCAGCTCGTTTTCACTCTTTTAGACACGCTTTTTAGATAGGCTCAACATCGATTTTTGGGGCTGTTTGTACAACAGCTGGATTTTTATAACGAATCAACGTTCAGAGCCAAGACAATTTTCATTTTGTAGAGAAATGTTTAATATACTGAATTATCTAGTTGCCATTTACGATTAGTTTGTAGCTTTATTGCAATAACTTTTCGAAAAAGAGCAAAAAATGGAAGCCGTTAGCTGGACAAGCCGTCGAAAAAAAGTTTCTTTGGCAACTGAGTGGTTT